TTATGTGCCTCATTTTTTGAATCAACTCAAAGTGAGAAAAACATTGTGCATGCGGTCAGAAATAACTGGAACAGCAGCCACAAGATTAAAAATAAGCAGATTTTTGAAGTGAAGACCTGTGATCTGGTTCATAAGACAATCTGTTTTATTTTCTTTGACTCAGAGTTCTGTGTAACTTTATCTAATCCAGATAAACCAGTTCTGATTAAATGGAAAAAACATCACCATAAAAAAAAATTGAAAAGCATCTGCAGTGGGACTAATCTAAAACTGCACACTCTTAACAGATCAATAAATGAAGATGAGTTGGGGTGTGTCTCCCTAAATTTAAAATGCATTTGATGAATTTTAATAACACAATGATTGTTTTCAGTTTTAGCTCTGCAACACAAACTTTGTCTCTGAAAAGAAACCGCATTGAGTTGCAGTGGGGTGTGTCATTTCAACTGAATTACAGTCAGGCATTCACACTATGTGGCTTTCATTGTTTGTTTGTTTTTATATTTCCTCATATTTATAATGCTTCATAGGGGAGTGTGGGGGCACAATTTAACGCAGGGTTAGTTGTAACACGCTTGTTTTAAATACTTCCACACATGCTGGTATGACCATACTTGGTGTATTTATTAGTTACCATTTCAACGCTATATAGAGAAAAAAATTGCATGAAAATTCCAAAATCTTTGTAAGATATCACTGAACATTTATTTACCCATAGCAAAAGTTCATATCTTACCTAAGTTAATTTCTCATCTCTATTTTTTGTGTTTTTTAAAATTAGACAAATATGACATTATTTTAATCTCCAATCTGTTGTTTAACAGTTGATATAGTAATTTAATGCTTCGCTAGCAGAAGACACTAGCAGGGTTTAAACCCCAGTTGTGCAGTTGGGGTATGTTGTAACACTGCGTTACAATGTGCCCCTATTAGAAATATGCTGTTATATTCTATACTTTTGTGAATTCTATTGAGAAAACATGAGAAACATGTAAATAAAGACTGAGAGTCAATGTTCCAGAAATTATTAATTATTATTTTGTTTTTAACCATGCTTTATAGCTATTTTCCGGTGTGTTTGTTGTCAAACTCAAAAAATTAGTTTATTATTGATTATTAAAAATACCATTATTTTATATGAAAAAGTAATTGTATTTTATTAAGAAACTATTTTGGTTTGACTTGTATATTTTTTTGATTAGATGAGATAGCATTTTAAGCTGTTATATGGTGATGCTACAATGTGCCCATCACATGTTACAATGTATCCAACCTATGGGGCATGTTGTCACATTTCACTTCCATTCTTTCAGGATAAATTAAGAAAAAAAGTATACACTGTATTGATAAAACAAAACCAGTAATTGTACAAGACGTGGGAAATTAATGCGAGGAAAAATAAATACTCTAAACCCTAAGTAGATTTACACAAACTCCGACAGTCAAAATGCCTTACGTTGTGCCCCGCTCTCCCCCAAGTTAATTCTCTCGGCAGCTCATCAGATACTATTATTTATTTAATTATGTTGCTGCGTGTCTCTCATTGGACGCATCTAAAGAAATTATAATAATTCCATCATGAATTTTGGAAGGTCAGTGCAGTCACAGATTTTTTTGGGTAAAGAGTTCCAGAGCGACAGAGAAGGCTCTATCACCCCGGGTTCGGTGTTTGGTCCTGGGAGGTAGAGGCAAGAGGTTTGCATCAGAAGAGCGGAGGCAACGAGATGGGTTGTCGCTGTGGAGCAGGTCAGTGAGGTAGGAAGGGGCCTGGTTATAAAGGGCTTTATGTGTAAGGAGAAGGATTTTGAATTGAATTTGTTGTGGGACCAGGAGCCAATGGACATTCTTAAAGGGTTAGTTCACCCAAAAATGAAAATTAAGTCATTAATTACTCACCCCCATGCTGTACCAACCCCGTAAGACCTTCGTTCGTCTTCGGAACACAAATGAAGATATTTTTGATTAAATTTGAGACTTCCTTAGATTTCCACGACGCATGCGCGAGAACTGAGACATTCTCTGACCGAGGTAGTTGAAAGAGATCGCAATTCTCGCGCATGCGTCGAGGAAATCTAAGGAAGTCTCGTTTCAGGCCAACAAGGAAGAAAAGGAATAGTCGAATAAACTCGTTATTTTTGTTTGTTTTTTCGCACAAAAAGTAGTCTCGTCGCTTGATAAACATATAGTTGAGCCACGGTAGTCACTTGGGATATTTAAACATTTTCTTCATTGACTTTCTGGGCCGTCAAGAGCCAGTCCCTTAGGAGCCAATGTGGTAGTTATACAGCTCTCAAATTTAATCAAAAATATCTTCATTTGTGTTCCGAAGACGAACGAAGGTCTTACGGGGTTGGTAGAGCATGGGGGTGAGTAATTAATGACTTAATTTTCATTTTTGGGTGAACTAACCCTTTAAGAACTGGAGTGATGTGATTTGGGGTGCGAGTGTGGGTGAGTAGACGAGCAGCAGAGATCTGAATGTATTGGAAAAGTGGGCAGAGCCCAGCGGAGGGGGGCGTTCACCTGAGACGCATCTCTTTGTATGGAACTTGCCTACGTCACCAACAACCGCTGTGTCACGTACCACCGCAAACATCCAATAGGAAAATTCAACTGCAGTAGCCACCGTTCAACCTGAAGAGGGCAGCACTAAGACGTTTTTACACCATCTATTTTAGAAATAGAACACTTTATAAACAAATGCCAAAAAAGTTACTCGAATCAATGACTGGTATTAATAAAGATCCATTCTTACAGATCATTAACTAAAAAAAGTTGGTTAAGTGTTTAGTTACTCTTTAAGCTTTTCAATGTTGTGCCTTACAATATGCTATTACAGTAGTCAATTCTGGAAGTGATGAAGGCGTGGATGAAGGTTTCAGCAACGGAGAAAGAGAGCGAAGGACAGAGACAGACAATGTTTTTAAAGTGAAAAAAGGCAGTTCTGGGGATTTGTTGTTTATACGGTTCAAAGGAGAAGTTATTGTCAAAGATGACTCCGAGGTTGCGACTGAGAAGGTAAGGAGAGAGGGTGGAGTTATCAACAGTGAGGGAGAAATTGAGTGGTTTTACTGATGGATTTAGGACCGATGATGATCATTTCTGTTTTTCATTTCACAGTTAAGTTGAGGGAAATTGGTGTGCATCCAAGATGTAATATCAGTGAGGCAGTTGAAGATAGCAGAGTGGGTGACGGAGATGATGGATTTGGTGGAGATTAAAGCTGAACATCATCGGCATAACAGTGACAATTGATACCATGGTGGCGAATGATGTTGCCAAGGGGGATTATGAAGAGGAGAGGACCAAGCACCGAACCCTGGGGGACGCCTTGGGACAGCGAAGCAGTAGAGAAAGTGCAGTTGTTGAACTGTTTTCTGTCGCGGAGATACGATTGAAGCCAGAAGAGGGCGGTGCCGGAAATATTGAGGGAAGATTCGTGGTGGGAGAAAAGAATGGAGTGGTTGATGGTGTGGAAAGCTGCAGTGAGATCCAGGAGGATGAGGATGGTGAAATGACCAGCGTCAGCTGAGAGAAGGATGTTGTTGGTGACTTTGAGGAGGGCTGTTTCCGTGCTGTGTTTCGATCGAACGGAAGCCAGATTGAAATGGTTCGAACAGATCATTTGAGCAGAGGTGGGTTATGAGTTGTTTGGCGACAATCCTTCCCAGTATATTTGACAGAAAGGGGAGATTGGAAATGTGACTTCGTGTTGCTTCAAGCGCATCATTCAGTGTTCACGACGCGCATAAGTGCTTTGTGAAGCACTGTATTGGAGTCTTTCATGATCATGTCATAATAGTTTTGCGCAATGAAAGCTTATTAATAGCCTTTCTTGTTCTGTCCCATCTAATATATGTTGCTGCCTCACTAAAAAGCTGTGCTTTACATTTAAAACAGCTGTGCATCTGATTTTTACGTTGTTATTTTACAACAATACAAAGAGCTATGTTTAATGTTTTACCAAATTTAGTGCTACACTTATTGTTTCTTGTTTGTTCCCCACTAAGGAATTTTTTTTTTCACTAAATGTTCAGATTTTATACAATTATTGTGCACTTGTGATTTTTCTAGGCTAAGTTTTGCTGAGTTATCCACTAATCTAGTTTACAATAGCATTTTTGTCATAGGTTATGGTCATACAGTATATATATATATATATATATATATATATGTTGTTTTTCTTTAAGTAGAAATGGAAGTAATATAAGTTTTCCATAAGTAGATTGTTTAACACACAAAAGAGTGATTATCAGATCATCGAGGCCTCGTCCTGCTCGCCACAACCCTGATTTAGGGTTTTATTTAGTTATAATAAACAAAAAAATGAAATCCGATTACTCGATTATCAAAATAATCGTTAGTTGCAGCCCTAATTACGAGTGCACAGCCATGTGAGTGGTGTTATTAAGAGCGACCACGGTCATCCGGACAGCAGTAGATGTGAAAGATATTAATCAATATTATGTTAAATCAGCCAGCTCACATACCCCTATTTACTTCATGTTTTCGGTGGAAGTCTACAGTAGTCGATTGTCGAGTTTGCGCGTTATTGCTTAGATACCAATGATCGTGTGCGCAAACTCGACAAAAAAGTAAAAGTATTGCTACTTAGGTAATAATTTACTTGACTACAAGTAGAAGTACTGAAAAATAATGTGACTCAAGTAAGAGTAAATAAGTAGTTTACTTTGCTTAAAAACTAGTCAAGTAACTATGTTACAAAGTACTTTAGTATTATTTTAGTATTATTTTTCTTATTATTTACTCAAAATGGGAAGATGATTAGCGGTATGGAGCACTAAACACTCAACTCTTTAATGAAATGCGAATCAACAAAGCTTGTATCATATAATTTATCAACAAAGCTTGTATCATATAATTTAATAAACTAATTATCACTCTGTTAAGAAGTAACATGAAACTGACATGTATTGTGAGTCAGTCTCTACAGCTTGAGAAACAATTTAAAAAAAGCAATTTAAATTAAAGGAACTTACCTTTTGAGCAATAATGGCAAAGTAACTTTTCATTTGAGGGATTTCTAGAAAGAGGTTATATAAAGAAAAAAAATTACAATTACAATCACTAAGTCAAAATAGCACCCAGCAACTCAGTGCCCTGACATTAACGTTACTATTCAAAATACATTTCATGCAGATGTGAACGCATGCTACAAATCTGCAAAGCCCATTGATAAGGCTCTGGAGATGAAACCTGGTTGTGAATGCAATTTTCTTTCTCCAATTTCTACAAAATTCAACCAAATTTAAATTCCCCAGGTTTTTTTCTAGAGCCGATTGACTTCTTGAGCCGTTGAAGGCAGAGAATTTATTCTCATGAACGACGTGTTCTCTAGGCCATGACTTGTGTTAACCCTCGACGAATTCCTCCAAAAAGAGACAAATAAATATACGTTAATTATAATTTGAGTCTTATCAACGGCTAGCACTATATTAGCACCCACACGAACTTTACCTCACGAGTTACCAACGTTGAAAGCGTCTGGGCTGAAACAGGTTTGTCAAAATAAATGCTAAGTTTATAACTTACTTCTCTGCCACAGCAATATCTATCTCCAGAAAAAAAACCCTGATAATTAATATAAAATTAGGAATACTTACGATGGTAATAAGTAAGACATCGCGGATCTCCAATGCTGACATCGCCATTTTTACTCCCTGCCGCTATCTTTCGGCGCGAAACTTCAACGGATAACGTCAAACGTCAGGCGTGTGACGTCATCAACTACGCGGCGCCGTAGTTGATAACGTCAAACGTCAGGCGTGTGACGTCATCAACTACGCGGCGCCGTAGTGGCCGATTCGTAGCAGTGGAGTGGAGAAATGCTTTTCTTCAAATTCAATAACCAGATAGATGTGATGATGATGATAACTTAAAGCCTTATTTAAAATCATACTTTGCTATTATTTAAGTTTAGTATCATTTAAGTCATTAGTGAGACAATGTTTTTTTTTTCTTTTAGACAGGACTTTTATTATTTAAGCTTAAATTATCTTTATTTCTTTCTGTATATATTTAATTATTTAACAAACATGTACACTCATTCATAAATTATATTTATAATACAAATTTCTTCAAGCGTAGCTTATTGTATTATGTCTATGATCAATTGTTACCTGATTTATATTTGATAAATCAAATAATAATAATAATATTTTATATATATATATATATATATATACATATATCCCCCTTCATAGGCCGTTATATTGATCATCAACTGAATCCAATGCCATATCCAATGTAATAAGTCCTGTAGGAGCAGCAGCAGCGGCGCAGAAACCTGCAGAAACAGGATTCATAATGATCACATCATCAGTAGGCTATTAATGTCTGTAATATTCATAGCTTACCTGTCCTAGAGCAGCTAAATTAGAAGAAGAGCTTCAATGATCAGCAGCATCTTGATTAGCAGCATCTTTTATATCACCTGCCAAAAAGTGATTGAAGCCTCTACATATTGATTGAAAGGTTATTTCTGCCCTGAAATTAGTCGATTATATTCGTGAGGATTAAGTCTGACTGATTATAACTCACCTACTACTTTTTACCTATTAAAATACCTGTAAAGGGCCAATACAACCATTATAATGCAGTATTTCACCTGAACAAACAAAAGCGCTACCTTGTTTTATTTTAAAGTTTGAACTTTCATCCCGGCGAACCACTTTAATCCACTTCTTCCTTACTTACTTAATTCAATCGGGAATCCATGAAAACTTAAGTAGGGTTGGCGCTGTTGGTTAGATTTACAAAGTGGAACAGAGCAGTGACATCCATAGACAGAATAAGAAGTGGACAGAGCCATCTCATTGGAACTCCATTGAGACAAATGAAGCCCGTTTTTGGCGATTTTTTAGCACTTCCGTTATAGTGAGCAAAACATCTGGGAGGTCAAAACTGTCCGAGCCCCAGCTCAAGTGCAACCCATCTGGGCCATAGCTTTGCTGGCTGGGAGATTTAAAGAGATAAATGTTTTACTCTGAAAAGTCAATATAATATACAAAGAAGGAAAATGCACATTTGTATGTATGTATACAGTACCTTTATTTGTGTTAGGCCTACATGTAAACAAAAAAATACCATTTGCATTTCTTCAAAATGATAATAATTCATTAAAATGACTAATAAGAAGACTGGTGAAGGACTTTCCCACTTTTTCTACCTTGCTATTCAGGCCTTACATAGAAATGTCATCTTAAAATCATATAAGCCAGACTCAATTTATGTCTAATGCCGCTTTCCACTACAGAGTACCAGCTCGACTCGACTCGCCTTTGTTTGGTTTTCCACTGAGTAAAAGTCGTACCTGTACTTGCTTCGGGTAGTTTTTTGCATCACCTCCAGCGAGGTTCTGAGCGAGCTAAGGCGAGCTGAGCCGGTACTAAAATGTGACAAAAAATGCCGACTGCTGATTGGTCAGAGAGAATCATGCGTCATTGCACGTGCCAGATGGAGTATCCAGAGTAACCCCGCCATTTTTAAATAGTTTGGCCAGAGATATTTTCTAAACTTACTACTATTATTATGGCAACTCTGAAGAATACGCCGTGGTCAAACGAGGAGGTGCAGACTTTCCTTTGTTTGCCGAAGTGAGGATCCAGCGAGAGCTAAATGGGGAAGCGAGGAACGAAAGGTGTCGCTATGACGACCGGGTACTATTTGTGGCGGTACTGTCTGCAATGGAAAACGGAGCGAATGGCGAGCCGAGCCGAGGCAAGTTGGTACTGGTAATGGAAATGCGCCATAAGATAGCACATATGTCCCTGTTTCTTTCACACTATGAACACTTTACCGTTCATCTTTCTTATGGATTCTTTGGTGTGTGTTATCAGTCTAAACACTTTCTCAGACTCACAGCACACAAGTTTCTCATGTATTTTCTGGTGTCTTTTATAGGAGTAAACTCATTGAAACCTCCTTCCACAAACAGGACAGATGTACTCCTTTTCATTTCTATGAACTTTCATGGTGTTTCTTCAGTAATGATGCCAAAGCAAAACAATTCAGTGCAATGATCACATTAAGGAGTGTCTGAAAAACACTGTTGATATCTGAAATCAACACAAACAAATAAACAAACAAACACATCCATCCCCCACACAGCTCACAATAGTATCTAAAACAAGAGTTTGTTGTTAGTGGCCAGCAACAGCACAGCAGATCCAGACAAACATGACACTCAAAACTGTCCTGTTACTAGACAGTAGGCTTCCTTAATCAGAGTTAGCATTTCACTATATATCTTGGTTCTGTGAAAAATAGCAAAACAAATGCTCACATGTGGAGTAGAAACAACGCAATAACACTTCTGTCCCACTTTGGTCTATCCAACGCTGGAACGGTTTTCTAATAATAATAATATGGCTCCTAAAGCTCTAATCCAGTGATTTTTCTCTGAAATTTATCCCTCGGCCATCTCCATCTTTACATGTTCTAGTCTTTCTCAGATAATGTCTAATTGAAGAGAATTGGCTCTATGCACGGCGTTATTTCCGGTGAAGCATTAGGGATGCTCGATAACTTCCGCCGATCATAGAGTCCAATGCAATACCGAGAATTTATATTGAATTTTATACTCCATGGTTATACTAATGAAACGTTAGTCACAAAAACAGATAAAACAGACACCCCTCGTTGTGTTTATGCTTCTTTTTAAAATTATATTAAATAAACATAAATATATGTAAAATTACATCTAAACGTATGTACGTTTCGTTTCAAAGACGAGAGGACAGTAAATATTGAAGACTCTGCCATAATCCCGTTTTCTCCGGTTTTCCTCCGCTTTAATCTACACAACCGGAAATGGACGAGCATCCTTACGTCAAATGCGGAACTTATGCGTGCATATAGCCCATTGGCACTGGCTGGTTACTTCCGGGTTCTGGACTGGCTGCAGTAACGCGTCTCTGTCCATGCGGGGGCGCTCACGGTCGAGTGCAGAATGAATGGGAGTCAATGGGGTTTCACCCCCAGAAATCCACTTTTCTCAGGATGTAATTTTTTGTCAAGTAATTTGAAAGTTGCATTCAAAAGGGAGGGCTAAGAAAATACACTCAGCTGAAAATTGTATTTTTAAGTTCACTTCTGAACTTATTTTTAAGTTCATCTGTTCAAAAAATCCGTTCAAAAATGTGATGACGTCACACAATAGCAGAATGCTAGCGTGTTCTGGCCAACAACGGCCTAACCTGTAAGAAATCAAAAGGACATAAGTACTCGTTCATTCGACTTTTGGCCTATAATCTATAATGAACTTGCGGAATCAACAATAAAATCAATGTTGATTTAACGACAAGCAGGTGAAAGAGACACTTTTAGCCGTTTAGCCCCATAGACTCCCATTCTTTCTGCACTCGCCCGTGATCACCTCCAGTGGAATTATAATGGAACTGCAACCAGGATGATACACAACGGGGCTAATAGGAAGTGCCAAGGCTCTCCGTTAGACGGGATCTGTCTTTCTTCAAATCTCCCTCTTTCTCACTCTCCGTCTCGTCCCCCATCATGAATGGACACGCCCTCTACAGCTGATTGGCCACGAGTGTGTTGAGCTGCTCCATCCGATCCACTTTCCACAGCTTTCCTGTTTCTCACTGTATCTCTCCGTTGCCTTGTTGCAGAGTGAGAATGGCGAAGATGCGCTTTTAGACTCGTGTTCCACTTAAATCTCTTCTCACACAGATGACACGCGTACGACATCTCTTCAGAGTGATTTCTCATGTGACTATTAAGTCCTTGTTTAAAGGTGAAACTCTTGCCACACTGAGAGCAGGAGAAAGGCTTTTTTCCAGTATGAAGTCTCATGTGAGTTTTACAGCTTTCTCTACTTGTGAAAGTGTTTCCACACTGAGAACAGGAGAAAGGCTTTTTTGACATGTGAGTTATCAAATGAACATTAAGGCAGTTTTTATATTTAAAACTCTTTCCACACTGAGAGCAGCTGAAAGGCTTTAATCCAGTGTGAATTATCATGTGATTCTTGAGGTTTTCTTTACGTGTGAAAGTGTTTCCACACTCAGAACAGACGAAAAGCCTTTTGACATCTGTGATTTGAATGCTGCTTTTTTCAGTTTTGGAGCAACTCAATGGTTTCTCTCCAGCGGTGACATCATGAGCTTTCTGATGCTGATGTTTCTCCTCCACTTCATTCAGATCTGGTCTTTCCTCTTTCACTTTTATCAAGCCTAAAATGGAAATTATGAAAATCAATTTGGTCAAATGGAAAATAAAATAATTTATGATAATGTAGGGCCCACTAAAAACTCAAAAACCACTAAAAACTGTGTATTCTGTTGAATGTGCCCTAGTTATTGGCGATTATTTTACACGGAACGTAAAAAATAGAGACACCAGCCACCATAGTCACATGTTTCCCGGGAGCCAGAGCGCCTGACATCAAAACAAATTTAAAAGTACTGGCTAATGCTAATCGTAAATTGTTCAAACATTAAAGAGGTGTGTGAACATGCAAGTATGATGTCATGCACTGTAATTTGCTCTGGCTGCCTTCCTGTTCGCAGGAGTGATGAGATACTTAGTAGACTGTCCTCACTTACTGTAATGGCTGGCATCATAAGTGTGTGCAATAGCATTTTAGGTAGGGCTGGGCGATATATCGCACGATATTGTTATGCGCGTCTAATCAGTAAAGTCGGTTCCTTGATTAGTAGTAAATGACCTTCACATGCTTTCAGATGGACGATATAAGTTTTAAAGTTAATGAGATAATTAAGTGATTAATTTAGTGATGATTGAGCATTATTGAAGACACCTGATGATAACAAGCAGAATTACTGAAGGAGAAAATCACAAATTGTAAGCCACCGTTATGGAGATCGGTGCTTGCTTTAGTTGGGCTCTTGACACTTTTACTTTCACTTTAATCTTAGTTTGTCTGCTGTTATTGATTTATAGCAGTCAAATGAACAAATAGATTTGTGATCTAATAGTATTGGTTATGTGTTGACAATCATGCTTGATCTGAAAAATGAATTCTATTCAGATGAATTGGCTTAACTTGTTAGCAACAGTTTTGTGATTCAACTGCATATCTGTATTTTTCTTATAACCTAAAATGTTTATTAAAAAATATTCTGATCAAATCACTGTCATCTTTATTTAGAAACACAGAAATCAATAATCAGCCTGTGTATCTCAATCGTGGTGACATTTATAATCCTTGTTGCCACCAATCACAACTCATTAATGGCTCCCATCATGCATTGCGGTTTGAATAAATTATGATCTGAATTGTCGATGTAATTTACTTTTCCTACTTGAATATTCTACTCGTCACCGTTGTTGAGAAGCATTGACTGAATCTTGAGGTCTGTGTGTGCCTAAAGGAAAGGTTTTTTTTTTTTTAAACTTTTGAGAAATCCGTCTATTATATTTTAACATTCTGGACATTTATTCAGAATCTAAGTCATACACTAACCAACAGAATAAATTATAGACATAAATTTCAAATGATAAATGTCATCATGTGCCCAACATCATTTTAATATTGTTTATTTTTGTTCATCTGAAAGAAATAACTCAGATGCAACAGCAAATTAAAATATAAAGTTAATAATATAAGGGTCAAGAGCAGTGTTGTAGTCGAGACCACCTCACTCGAGTCCGAGTCAAGACCGAGTCCAGAGAGAGTCGAGTCCGAGTCGAGACCGAGTCCAGAGAGAGTCGAGTCCGAGTCGAGACCGAGACCAGAGAGAGTCGAGTCCGAGTCGAGACCGAGTCCAGAGAGAGTCGAGTCCGAGTCGAGACCGAGTCCAGAGAGAGTCGAGTCCGAGTCGAGACCGAGACCAGAGAGAGTCAAGTCCGAGTCGAGACCGAGTCCAGAGAGAGTCGAGTCCGAGTCGAGACCGAGTCCAGAGAGAGTCGAGTCCGAGTCGAGACCGAGTCCAGAGAGAGTCGAGTCCGAGTCGAGACCGAGTCCAGAGAGAGTCAAGTCCGAGTCGAGACCGAGTCCAGAGAGAGTCGAGTCCGAGTCGAGACCGAGTCCAGAGAGAGTCGAGTCCGAGTCGAGACCGAGTCCAGAGAGAGTCGAGTCCGAGTCGAGACCGAGTCCAGAGAGAGTCGAGTCCGAGTCGAGACCGAGACCAGAGAGAGTCGAATCCGAGTCGAGACCGAGTCCAGAGAGAGTCGAGTCCGAGTCGAGACCGAGACCAGAGAGAGTCGAGTCCGAGTCGAGACCGAGACCAGAGAGAGTCGAATCCGAGTCGAGACCGAGTCCAGAGAGAGTCGAGTCCGAGTCGAGACCGAGACCAGAGAGAGTCGAGTCCGAGTCGAGACCGAGACCAGAGAGAGTCGAGTCCGAGTCGAGACCGAGACCAGAGACGTTTGAGTCCGAGTCGAGACCGAGACCAGTGAGGGTTGATTACCTAATTTACTTTTATTTACTTTGAGAAATCCTTTCTTTTTTAACTGAATTTACTTAGAGTTTAAAAAATATGATCAGTTTAGGGTAAAAAGGCCACATAGTAGGTGGTGTTAAAAGTAATTTTATTACAATTTGTCATGCGCAGTTGCGCACTAGAAAATCACCAATCACTGGGCGTGTCAATCAATTTAAAGAAATATTTTATTAACATACATTAATAATCATGAAAAATATTTTGAATTGAACTCGAGTGGACTCGGGAATAAGTCCGAGACCTAAAAAAAAAAATGTTCGAGTACGAGTCAATTCCGAGTCCAAATGCACACGAGTCCATGACAAGACCAAGACCATTAAAATATGGTCTCGAGACGAGTCCGAGTCTCGATTACTACAACACTGGTCAAGAGCCCAACTAAAGCAAACACTCATAGCGGTGGCTTAAAATTTTAGATTTTTTTCTCAATCATCACTCATTTAATCACTTTATTGTCTCATTAACTTTAACACTCTTGAGTGTGGACTCATATACACTCCAGGTGTGTTAGTTTAACACGGGAGATTTTGTCAAATCAATTTGGTCAAATGGAAAATAAAATAATTTATGATAATGTAGGGCCCACTAAAAACTCAAAAACCACTAAAAACTGTGTATTCTGTTGAATGTGCCCTAGTCATTGGCGATTTTTTTACACGGAACGTAAAAAATAGAGACACCAGCCACCATAGTCACATGTTTCCCGGGAGCCTGAGCGCCTGACAAAGCAAATTTAAAAGTACTGGCTAATGCTAATCGTAAATTGTTCGAACATTAAAGAGGTGTGTGAACATGCAAGTATGATGTCATGCACTGTAATTTGCTCTGGCTGCCTTCCTGTTCGCAGGAGTGATGAGATACTTAGTAGACTGTCCTCACTTACTGTAATGGCTGGCATCATAAGTGTGTGCAATAGCATTTTAGGTAGGGCTGGGCGATATATCGCACGATATTGTTATGCGCGTCTAATCAGTAAAGTCGGTTCCTTGATTAGTAGTAAATGACCTTCACATGCTTTCAGATGGACGATATGAGTTTTAAAGTTAATGAGATAATTAAGTGATTAATTTAGTGATGATTGAGCATTATTGAAGACACCTGATGATAACAAGCAGAATCACTGAAGGAGAAAATCACAAATTGTAAGCCACCGTTATGGAGATCGGTGCTTGCTTTAGTTGGGCTCTTGACACTTTTACTTTCACTTTAATCTTAGTTTGTCTGCTGTTATTGATTTATAGCAGTCAAATGAACAAATAGATTTGTGATCTAATAGTATTGGTTATGTGTTGACAATCATGCTTGATCTGAAAAATGAATTCTATCCAGATGATTTGGCTTAACTTGTTAGCAACAGTTTTGTGATTCAACTGCATATCTGTATTTTTCTTATAACCTAAAATGTTTATTAAAAAATATTCTGATCAAATCACTGTCATCTTTATTTAGAAACACAGAAATCAATAATCAGCCTGTGTATCTCAATCGTGGTGACATTTATAATCCTTGTTGCCACCAATCACAACTCATTAATGGCTCCCATCATGCATTGCGGTTTGAATAAATTATGATCTGAATTGTCGATGTAATTTACTTTTCCTACTTGAATATTCTACTCGTCACTGTTGTTGAGAAGCATTGACTGAATCTTGAGGTCTGTGTGTGCCTAATGGAAAGGTTTTTTTTTTTAACAACTTTTGAGAAATCCGTCTATTATATTTTAACATTCTGGACATTTATTCAGAATCTAAGTCATACACTAACCAACAGAATAAATTATAGACATAAATTTCAAATGATAAATGTCGTGAGGAAGAGCCGTAGTTCACTGACCAGCTGAGCCATATCGCATTAAATATCGCTGGCGATATGTCCTCAATATTAATGCGATATGGCTCAGCTTGTCAGTGAACTACGGCTCTTTGTAGTAAATGCCGCTCCATCTGAAAGCAGGTGAAGGTGATTTACCACTAATTAAGGAACCGGCTTTACTGATTAGATGCGCATTCAATATCGTGCGATATATCGCCCAGCCCTAATTTTAGGGCATCATAGGCATGTGCAAAAGCATTTTAGGGTGTGCAACAGCATTTTTGGGGCATCATAGGCGTGTGCAAAAGCATTTTAGTTTGTGCCACTGCATATTGAGGCATCATAGGCGTGTGAAGTAGCATTTTAGGGCATCATAAGCATGTGCAATTGCATTTTTGGGGCATAGTGGTGTCCGCAAAATTATATAGAATTCATAGAAAATTCATAGTAATATAGCACAAAGTCTTAGAGTTCAAACATGACAATCTGGGGCTCAGGTCAGGAAACACAGACTGGCTAAACCGACCGTCTGCCAGCTGTCTCACATCACTGAGGTCAGATAAATCCCGTCACGTAGAGACTCTTTCACCTAGATATCATCATAGAGACTGTGTCTGTTCTCCGAATTAGGACATTAAAAAAATTCAGACCGATCTATGGGTAAACATTTTAATTGATGTTCAACAAATAAAACAGATATAATACAAATGAGCAAATGATAAAGCTTGGGTTGCTGAATATTCGATCCAATATCAATATCCGATATCAATATTCAGTATCCCTTACTTCAAAAGCACTTATTGTTAATTATATGATTATAGATTATAACCTAGATGTGCTGTTTTTGACCTGGCTAAAACAAACAATTACATTACTTTGAATGAATCAACCCCACAAGATTACAGTTATAAATATGAACCTCAATTGAAAGGTAAAGGGGGAGGTGTTGCTGTAATTCATAGTAATATTTTCAGCATTACTAAGAAATCGAGTTTAAATTTTAATTTTTTTGAAGTGTTGGTGCTTAATGTAAAAATATATAATACTGTAAATGATAAATCACGTTTGAGATTTTGTTCTTGATACTACCAGGCGCCATACAGACTTTATCAAAGAATTTGCTGATTTTCTATCAGAGTTAGTACTGGCTGCTGATAAAGTCCTAATTGTTGGTGATTTTAGTAAACATGTAGAAAACGAAAACGATGAATTGGGATTGACATTTAAAAAACATTCATAACACTAAATTTCAGGGCTTCAGACTAACTTTTTTACTAGGAGCACTGTTGCCCCTGACTGAAATTTTTAGGAGCGAAAGCAGAAAATTTAGGGGCACACGCACACCTTAAATCAGCTTGCAATGCAATTATTCAAATTTCCCCCAAAATAACCGTAATACTGACATATTCTTTAATATTAAATAGATTTAACACACAGTCAGATATTATGATATGGTGTTTTATTAGGGCTCCAGACTCAAATTTGAGGGCAGCATCCCCTCAAATGAGAACTCACAGTTCTACAAAAATCTGGTAGCAATAAATCATTAAGCTTAATTTAAAGTGTAGATGAAATTAACTTTAGTTATTATCATTCATAATGTCTTAATAATAATTAAAAAACAACTTGTGTGTGCAAAATACAGAATTACATGAATGTGCAGCATTTTGTACAAATAGAGACATATTTGTTAATACAAAAGCTCAATTTTGTATTAATGCAGGCCAGAATTTGTGCGTGCAACAAGTAAGATGTGCGTGTGGATGAGGTGACATGTATGCATTCATTGACTCGTTTCTGAGTCGATTCTATTTGATTCATTTGGATTTTGAGACTTTCATTTTGCAGGTTTCGCCTTGAAAGATCCATACACACTGTCTGAGAAAGCCTGCTACCACTAGATGGCAGTATTCTACAAAAAAAAAAAACAGACTACAGCCGCATAATCAAACGTTCTTCCACATTTAAGACGCTTAAAGGAGTAGTTCACTTTTGAAAAAACTTTTGCTGATAATTTCCTCACCCCCCAGTTGTCATCCATTTGTACTTGTTCTTACTTGTTGCATGCAAAAATTCTGGCCTGCATTAATACAAAATTGAGCTTTTGTATTAACAAACATTCATTCAATTTTGAATTTCGCACACACAAGTTGAAAGGCATGGATAAAACATTTCTGCAACATGTAGGCTATCAAGTTCATTGATAATTGTGTTTGCACGTGTTATTCATTTTGATACTATAACCATCCCATATTTGAGTTTAAGTTACACTCATGTAAAAACAAAGATAATATATTTAAAACGTTGATTTAATGGTAATTAATGCCTTGTTTTTACATTAAGGGAGACTTTAAATGATGCGCACCCTGTTTATTTGTTAGCAGAATGGGTCCTTTATGCTTTTTCAACTTTAGTCAGTCTGTAATGTTGCTGTTGCATAAAAAAAATATCTGCAACGTTACAAGTTCCCTTAAAAGGCAGATATTTTATTTAACAACCTTTAAAAGAACTACAACGAATCAGTTTGGACTACAACTCGATTTTCCCGGCTTTATGAAGTCATAATATTTCTCATTTAAATAATCCGCGCCCACGGTATATATGCAAAAAATGTGTCGATTACTGTTTGGATTTAATTAGTTTATGTAATCACGATTAAATAGTATATTTAATATACTATTTAATACTATTTAAAGGGGGGGGGGGGGGGAGAAAAACACTGAAATCGTCCTAGAAGTGCTTGCATAGCCCGTGAATGAAGGCTTGGAAACACATTCGTACACCCCAAAAACAAAACTTTGTAAATGGGCATATGGGACCCCTTTAAAGATGAATGAAGAATCACCAACCTCCTTGTTCCTCGTGTTTTATTCTTCTCCATGGTTCTGGTTCACTCATGTCCTCCTCACTCTCCTCTTTAACAAACACCATCTTCACAGCAGCAGATCTCAGTTCAGTTGATACTCCTCCAAATATTCCTGCTTCAGAACTTAGTCACGTATATGAGGATGGGAATATTACAGGCATTTATCATGGCATTTATTGACCTTTTTTTTTTTTAAACTATCGTTCTATCTTTGTAACAGTAACAGCAGAGCCCATGCTGAAAACTAATCTTCTTCCTCTAAGGTTTAATGGTGGTTGTAAACAAACGCATGTGTTTTACCGCCACCCACTGGACTGGAGTGTGAAGCGTCGAGAGGAGGTCAGCCCAGAGGAGAAAAGAATACGGGGAAGAAATTACTTGCATGGACAATGGACTATTCCTTTAAAAAGATTTACACAAAAAAAATGAAAAATGCTTTTAAAGAATAATATAGCCTACACTCTCATCAGATTTGAGTTATATGTAGCCTACACTGAAATAAAAATAAAAAAATCCAAATTTCACAGAAAACAGAAAATTGATTGTATGTATTTATACTTGGGAGTTGTTATGAGAGCACAACTTTTGATTCAACACAACTTCACACTCACAGTAATGCAAAGGTCGTTATAACAGCTTGTTTATTAATGTCTGAAGTGCTTCACTACAAAAGTGACAAATGTGTGTAGATGGCCGAATCAAGAGGATTATCCACACAACCTGGTGAGTCAGTTCACTTCTGTTCATAAGTTATTTAAAATAATGCAGTGTTTGTGAATTTAAAATCGAAATATTTTATTAAGAGATGCAATACCTTAAAAATCCCACAATAAGATATTTCAATTCAATATTTCATCATTAATGATAATACTTTTTTTTTGTTTGTAACAGGTGAAGATCAGGGAAATTCAGGATTATTCGACACAAGAGGAAGCAAACATCAGTCTCTAAACAGTGAGTTTTACATTTAAATAAAATATGAATAGTACAACAAGATATGTGACCTGTGCTGGAAAAGTGAGTCCGAATGTGCACAGGATAATTACAAGCTACAAGCAAAACAAGTGAAAAAATTTAATCTTGGTAGAATTTGAGTTTTTTTACAAAAATGAGTTCATTAAGCCCTCGTCTAGCAATCCCAATGATCCACATAGAAATTAAACATCTAAAAGTATTTTTATTTGTGCGTTTTCTAAGAGAAGTACATTTCCTTTCTCTAAGAAAAATGCTGTTTTGCTTCTCAATGACTGGCGCTTCCCCTCGGCACAAGTTTGGTATCGTTTTAAAGTGCAGCATTACAACTTTCTTAATATTCATAGCAAATTCTCAATGGCTTAAGTGTGAACAAACTGTTGTTTTTTTATTTTTTTTAAGAAGACTCTATATTTAATATACATATAGATTTTGTAGCTCAGATAAGGTTCAGTTGTGGTTTGTTTCCTTGTGACCCAGATCTGCTGGACTTCTGCTGACGATTATTTTATTATTTAAAGGTGCAAAACGCAAGTATCTGAGTTTTTGCAGAACTACGCCCCCTCTGGCGACAAGCGAAACTGCGTGCGCGCTCATGGAACACACACACATACACGGCATGCACGTTTGCACGAGCTGTTCATAACCAAAGGAGCATCAGCCGCACACTGTGCGGCACACATCTTTTGTTACAGTCATAATGAGGTAATACAGTTATAAATCTGCAGGTCATTTAAAATATATATGAAAGGAAAGGCATTCGAGTAAATTACACACTTATGTCTGTGTGAGGGGAAAACAGGGGTAGTAGAAAACTTCAGTTTTTGTTTCCATCTTTCTCCATATTGAACTGTTTTATGTGTTTACTGTATCCACGTATGATTGTATTATTATGGAAACACGTTCATGAACAATATAAGTTATTACTTTGTATAGGACCCGTTTGAGCCCTAGAGCCGACCGGAGATCTCTCCGTTTGTTGAAAGCTTCCCGATGTTGACTCGTCCTATTCCGACGCCTGGCACTGGACAGACAGAAGTTGTATTTTCTTTGTCTCACGTGGAGTTTGCGTTTGGGTTTGGAATGAACTAAAGCCGGTCTCTTTGGGGCTGTTTACACCTACAATGCGTTTTCTCAGATCGGATAGCTATCTGATTTATCAAAACGATTCAATTACACCTGGTCCAGGGGCGAAAATTTTATCAAAATGTTGGGGGGGACAATAAACATAACCATTCTCAAGAGCAAATTTTGAAGGGGACACCAATAATACAGGCAAAAAAAAAATACAGAGGAAAGCCTTACTACTATTATTAGTGTAGCATGGAGACCATTTCATTATACTTCTTAAAATTTCTTTCTGGTTTAAGCCAGCGGCGAATCTGTTTTTATACTCTCCTCACGCAGCGCAGCGATTTCATTTCATTCATTGACGCATACTTTAACTATATTAAATGATATAATCCAACTAAATCACAGTGAAAGCGTTACAATCTAAATGCACAGCGCACCCGGACTTTCTCATCAGTGTATGGCCAGCAATATTGTAATGTTTAATGACATGAAGATAATGTCTGTTCTAAGTTATTATTGTACTGTACAATTTAAAACAATCGTTCCTGAATCCTGAGTCTGCAGTCTGAAAACTTTACCTCATAGAGCATCCGTTCACTGAATGAATTGAATCTCACCTGAAAAATCCAATAACACCAGCAATTGTCATTCAAGCAGCTGATTTCTGTAAATAAATGCAAAACTAAATGCATATTGCAGCATAGGGCGAAGTCAGGATCCGTCAGCACCGATTTGAGACAAAAATAATTTAAATTTTATATAAAACTATGTAAATGGCGCTCTGTGGCGCAGCAGGGTTTTGAACACGGTCCGTTGCTGGGCGCCGCGGACAGACGCCGAACGGCGCCGCCGGTGTGTGTACACTCATAGAGAATAATGTGTTCGAATTGTAAAGACGTGGCACTGCGCGACGCGACGCTTCTCGTCCGGTGTGCGACCCCTTTACTGGAGTTCCACAACTATTCAAAAACTATGTTTTTCTCTCCCGCCACCGGAATGTGTGTGTCTGAGGTAAAAGGGACGGAGGCAGTGGACCAATGCACTGTGAGGCAAGGGAGGGGGGTCTCAAAATGTTTAGAAAGCTTTTTTCGATATTGCCCCGTTTGCATTTGTGTTATTTTATTTCTTAATTATTTTAAGAACATATCATTACATTATTTACAATACACATATTTTAATGTTTTTTTTGGGGGGGACAACCCTCAGATAGGGGGGGTCCTGACCCCCCCGACCCCCCCGCGATTTCCGCCTATGACCTGGTCACATAAATGAGTTTTTGCAAAACGGATATAATCTGATCTTCAGTTCCCGCGCTATATAGGCTACAGATTTCATGAAGTGCACGTCACCGAAAGCAACAGATATGAGCTGCATTTTATTAATCATCGGTTAATTTCAAAATCAGCAAAGACAGCAATAAGACAGGCCTGGTAAGATCATTTCATTTCTTTACTTTTAATGAAGATTGTAGTGTTAAGAGTCAGCGACTTACACTTTGATTTGCGATAGATTGCGGTGCGCTGGCTTGATGAATAGACACTCAGCTGCTCATCTGAGGTGATGCGCATTGTCATATATGACTAAAATAACATGACATATAGCCTGCTTTCAACAACCAGATGCATTTACACTTGTCCAGTTTTGTCTGGAATACGGCACAGACCCCGTCCTCAAGTGATTTGAGCGATCGGATTCAAATCCGTCTCGAATGCGTTTCGGAGGGCAACCTGGTCTTTTCACGAGCTATCCAATCACAGAAAACGCATGAAGTGACCAGATGTAGGCTAAACAGCCCCTTTGAATCCATCGTCTACTTTTGTGGAAAGTTGACTAAAGTTGTGTCGCTCGAGTTGTCTTCTCTGATACGGAGAACGGCGGCGAATACACTAAACCTGCAAGACAGGCACATAGCCAGGTGAGCGTGAACGCGCGTGACGTCACGGCCAGTCTCAGATTCGAGCCCGAATCCCTCTTATTTATTTTACTGTACAGGATTATAGAGGCGATCTCAGTGATCAGAGAAGGGCTCATTCAGCCCATCAGGCGATTGTTTAAGCTTGTATGGATTAGAAAAACGGCTATTTTTAACATGAAATGTTACGCAATGCACCTTTAATGATTGTAACATCCATAAATGGTTTCCTGAAGGCTGAACTAGTTTCTCATGCAGTTGTGACTCAGTATCTGTGTGTATTACTCTGTTTTAATATCTGTTTCATGTCCTGTAGAGGAGCTGTCGGCTCTTTGAGGATGTTTCTCAGCTGTATTATTATATTATTATGATGAGTATTAATCAATCAATTTTTTACAGTCTATGGTATTAATAACTGTTTCATGTCCTGTAAAAGAGCTGTCGGCTCTGTGAGGATCTTCACCGCTGTGGGAATCACTGTGTTTCTCTTCATCACATTGATCTAAACACAGAGCTGAGGAAACACTGGCCTGAACACTGTAACACTGTTCTCTGGTCAGACAAAAACACTGAAGAAAACACATCAGATCAACTGAACTTTACTTAAGTTCACTGCTGTCAGTCAATGAACTCGTAATATGAGACAATCAGTATGAGTTTAAAGTCATTTTGAATAAATATGAAATATTGCAAAATAGACTCTCCCGTTTTAAAGGTGCCATATGTAATAATTGAGGTAACAATATACGAAAAATGAGCTACACGCATCAAAAGAATGAGAAGAAATAAGTGCAAAGATGTCATTAAAAAACTGACAAGTTATAGTGCTGCCGAGATATTAACCTGAATTAGCATGCTAAATTACTAGCCCCGGCCCGGCAGGTGTCGTAATACCAGTTCCGGCCATGGGAGGCGGTATGCGGACGGGCAACGTTAGCACCAGCCAAACTGCAATAGACGAGTGAGTCGCGCTCGCGCCGGCTTGTGTGTACTTGAACTTGATGTCAGTCGTGTGGAAATACAGCCCATTACTACATTTCAGTTCAGGGAAGAGTTCAAAAAATGATTGGTCGACATTATGCACGAGGAATACATTTTGGTAAGTTGTAGCATACTGTATCTTTCAACAGTGTTCGTGTTCTTTTTCCAGCTAGTAGAGACGATCGGTTCACGTGCGCTAGGGATCTGTGGTGTAACATGTACAAGCGCCAAAACGGTATTTATTGTTTGAATTGCGTAATAAAATTGACAGAATCTGAGAGCTTAACTAACCTGCTTGCTAAGTGTCAATTGCGTGTGCCTCACGGTGAATTCACAGCGCTAGCTTGATCAACATCAGCGAACGCTGTCGGTCAAATTAATTCACTAACAATAAAAGTGTAATATGAACAAAACGAATACCATAAACTTCAAATAATTGCCCAAGCTTTTATTTTCCCATACCGTTTTTGAGATCTATGAGGCGGTCTTCATCATTTAGTGTTGAGATTCATAGTGTTTAGTTTAGTTCACTCTAGTGTTTAGTTCATTGAGTCTCTGATCTCTAAAAATCTCCAAATGTTCCACGTGAAAGTGCGGTCTTCCAACCTTTTACTATCATGTCAAATGATTTGAATAACATGCGCGATGGTAGTAGCACAAGTCATTTTCTGGAGGTATACTGCCCCCATCTGTTATGGAATATGGAGTAGGATTTGATTTATTATGTTAGATGGCACCTTTAACCCTTGTGCATCCTTATGCACATTTTTGTCCTTTTCAGTTTTGTTTTTTGATCACTTTGCCTGTGTTAAAGCTAACTGCAAAAAACTTGGCACATGTGTGTATTTTTATTGGAATTTTACTATTTCACCGTCATTTTCTAAAAAAAAAAAAAAATTTTTTTTGCATTATAGGTACAAAAAATACTCCCTCTCAGCACCTTTTGGACAAAAATGTCCCCATTGAAACCCATTAAAACTGCCATTTTTAATCCCCGGTTCAGTTAACTATAAAATTATGCAATCTTTTTTAAGAGGCTTTCATTCTGATGGCAAGGCTTCAACATTTTATTTTTTGCTATTTTTGTATCAGATGGTGCCATTTTTTTAAGTTTGGCCTATAAAACAAATATCGCTTTATTCCTGTTTTCTGGTTCGGAATATTATAGATCCAACTGGATAAATTATGCAACAATATTTGTGTGGGTGTGTTGGTATTGATGTCAGAGTGTGGTTAGTATGTGTGTTATAAAAAAAATATGTGTGTGTGCGCATGTGTGTGTTTGTAATACTGAGAAAGAAAAACTGCAAATTCAAATTCAATCACTGTGAGCTCCAGTGGGGTTTTGCTGGCACCCGATGGGGAAAATATGTTACTACGCCCAAACAAAGCTAATTTTTTGAGATATCATCCTCAAATTTGGAACACAACCTATTTAGATTTATGGCTTTGATTTTATTGCAGTTTTGAGTTCAACCTGATTTATAAAATATATATTTTATATAAAATATTTTTTATAAATAATTTTCATAAACTTATACACACATATATATATATATATATAACTTTTTGGGATTTACTTATTATTATTTGTTTACTTCAGCAATAATCTGCAAAAGGTCTTTTTTCAAATGATACCAAACTTAAGTCTGTGCTCCAAAGCGTCACATTTTTATGACAGTTTTTTGACATGGACATTTTTGTCCTCTTTTTACCTATGAGTAACTTTTTTTAATTGATGCACAAGGGTTAAAAATATGATGCTGAATTAGTTTTGCTCTCTGAATCTCCTGTATTATGAACTAAATGTATTGCATCATATATTGTGCTTTATTCAGTCTCCATCCATCCACTGCGGATGCTTGTTTCTTATAGCACAGATTTCTATATTGGTTTCATTTGGATTGTTGAAGTTGGTTTACAGCTAGTGTAGAGATGGAACTCTGGATTGTTCAGATAGGCCTTAAAGACTGGTGACTCCGGTTAGAGAGTAAGGGCTCGGAGAGTTATATCCAAAACTTTAATATGCTGGGCACATAAATAACATGTACATGGCTGTTTGTATATGGGTGTGTGTGTGTGGTCTGAAACAAAGGATAATAGTACAAATTAGACAAAATTATATTACAGTCATTGTTAAACTGCTACAGATATTTTCATACTGAACAGAAGATCAACAATCAACAATTTACAAGCAATTCCACAATTATAATAGTGTAGCATGTCAAATAACTGTAAAATGGCAACAGATTAACAGTTTAAATGTTAATATGACAACACATTATAACACTGTCTGAGGAACTAGCACGTTAGCTTTCCGACATCGAATAACATTTCTGACAGAGTATCGAATAACATTAACTTGTGCACATACAACTTGCAAGATTAATATACCATTATAATAATATAAACAACATTATTATCGTGCACATTTCTACAGGAAATAAGAAATAAACTCACTTTTCTGCACGAACGCACACAGCTTTGAAGTTTACATGCTCATCGTGACCCAGCGCGTGCGGTGGTGTATAAAGTGCATGATCTTAAAGGGGACGTTATAAGTAGAGTGAAAGACATGTGCCCTCTAGTGCTGAAACATGAAAGTGCAATTAAAGGGATAGACTTTCCTACAGCTAGATTCAGCTTTAAAAGAAAATCACCATTACATGAGTAAAATAATGTATTATCCACATATTTACATATTTGCATAGCCAAGAAAACATACATAAAAAAGAGCTTAATTACAAATGAAGGATGCTATTGAACCCTTATCTTAAATCTCTATCAGCACTTCTGGGAGTCTGAGTAAATAGTCATAATGTTGGATAAAGAGTATTTTTCTGTTATTGCTGTTTATGATTCCACTGAATCCGGCTGATTTTCCTCCATCTGGTAAACTGTCTCGCACGGCTCACTGGTTTTATCTGTTTTTCCGGC